CCGTCTTAACTTGTGAACTTGTTATTGACTACTTTGTTTTGAAGTTCACACATGCCGCACCAGTACGACCGGGTTCTGGAAGAGCTCCAGTAAAATCGCATGCATGCACCCACCGTCCTGACTCTTTGTGATAACTGCGGACACTTGTGACATTTGGATATCTTGGACCCTCCAAGGTTGGATTCTTGTGGATTTCTGGATTCTTCTGTATTGTGTAATGCAACGACAACGTTACCTTCACCCCCCAGCTGTAATATACGCACAGCATGCATGTATACCTTACTCCGTAGACGATGTAACCCATGATATATATTATACCATATTTCAGTGTAGTGACTGGGAGGTGGACGTAGAAATACAGAAAGCAATGTTGGATGGTAAGGAGAATGAAGCGAGGAAACTGTCATGAGGGTGTGGTGTACGTAGGTGTCTAGTCTTGGTCCGTCTGGTCGCGGGGGCGGTACTTGATGCCTCTGCTCTCGAGCTCGGCCTCTACGTCGTCCGGTATCCGGCCCTTCACACGTACGGCGTACATGCCTCGGACATATTTTGCTGTTGAAATGTTATTAAAGCGTATGTGTTTGAAAGAAGAGAAGGACGCACATGTGCGCTGCCATCGAGCCACCCAACTCGACTCGGGGTCGATCACGGCAATAACACCATCGAAGTACGTGGTCGTGCACACTTGGATGCGGTCAGGCGAGCTTTTCATCTATAAACAACCGATTTCACATTTCAGAAACCTTACTGGGAATAGTCCTGAAGAGAAGACGCACCTGCATGAGCTCTTCGCAATTCGGGCAGCCATTCCGTCTGAAGTCGGCTGGAGACTGGATGATTGAGCAGAGCAGGCATGCGCGGAGCGTCTTGCCGCGTGCTTGGGTGGGAATAGCTGCAGCCATTTTTACGTGTGTCAAATATTACGCTGGATGGGTTTGAAGGGTGGGCAGCTTGGTTGAGGTAGAGCTCAAGCAATAGGTTGTTTGTGACTTGAATACGCCGCTGTTCTAACCAAGCATTTGCCTGACTAAGCGCATCTGTCTGCTTTCCCACGACAGTATAAAGCAGAGGACCCCCCACCATCAATCTTTCTCTGCACTCACCATCGTGTCCTCTCAAAGGTCTTCCAAAAAGGTCATCAAATAGGACATTCGTTGTTATTCTATGCTACATCCATCCTTTCCGTCATCGTACACAAACGCTGGCACCTCAGCAGACGACCCTGATCGTTGAGTCAGGTTTCGTTCGAGGACCTGAAGAGAAGGCCTCATCGTTGAGTAAGGCCTGTCTCTCTCTCCATCACCCCCGCAACAGCAGCGACTACGCATGTCGCGTTTCGCCTGCAGCCCGTTGCATCTGTTGTGCAACTTTGAACTCGACCGCGGAGTTCTCGATGCCCTCCCAGAGCTTCACGAATTCGAGGCCAGCTTTGTTCCTAGAGATATCATATATTGGACACGGTGAGTTATATTGCTATGGCATATGGTTGAAATGCTGACCCGAGTTCGATGAACTGCGTCAGGGGGCGCTCCTGCGAGTTCAGCGAGGACATCATGTTGATGTCCTGCAGGAACGGCCGTGCGTTCCCAGCACCGTACATGGGCATCAGCGGCTTCGGCGCGTCGGCCAGTCCTCCACCCTCGAGACTGGGCAGGATAAACTCATCTGCAGCATGCGAAGCGGAAATGAGCTACTCATATTCCATATGTGCAGCTTGGCGACGGATGCACTGTGCACTCACGGATGAGGAGACGGCTGGTTGGCTTCATCGCCTTGCGGACGTTCTGCAGGATCGTGATGGAGTCGTGGTTGGGCCAGTCGTGGATGATGTGCCTCATCTGGAAACGTGGGCTGATCAGGATATGACGGGGACGCGGCGTATTGCATGGGGCGCACGTAGTAGAAGTCCGCGCCGCTGACGGGCGACTCGGTCAAGAAGTTGATAGGTACGAAGTCTATGCGCTTCTGCTGCACGGCCTCGCCATTCATCTCTTCCCAGAACTGCGCGTGATCAGCAGGCATTATTGACATTAACATCGATGGTTTTCGGATTCGAGGAAAGAAATTCACACACCGGCTTTGCGAGCGTGATAACCTTGGGCATGTCTTGCAGGACATAGTGGAACTGGGGGTGCCGCCGGGACATCTCCAGCCAGATGTGGCCGTAACCACCGCCGACATCGCACCACGTCGTGCCCGCAGGCAGCGATTCCACGGGGTAGACTGTCGCCCGTGTTAGTCCGGCAGGGGCAGTATGGGCGAAGGTAACTGACAGTCGAAGATACGGCCGTAGCGGTCGCTCGTCATTGCTCGGCTGAAACGCTGGGCACTGATAAGTAACTGGCTACTGTCCGTTTAGAAGATTGCAATACCTGTCTCAATTCCGGCTTCGAGGGCGTCAGAGAAGGGAGGCCTCGAGTTTACAAAAGGAGACGACGTACGTGGTGCTCGTACCAGGTGAACAGTGCGACGTCCTTCAGCTCATCCTTCACGCCATAGGAGAAGGCAGACCGGTTCGCATCGTACGACGGGCCGTACACGGGGTCGGTGAGCGCGTCGTACAGGTTCGCGGTCGCGTTGCGCTGGAACTCCTCCGCCATCATGCCCGCGTAGTCCGCGATGGGGCACTCGGAGCGCAGCGTGTACGACGTGCGGCTGTTCGTGAACACGTCGTGCGAGACCTCGAGGAACGTGTGCCGCGCAGCCAGGCAGCGCAGGATGCGCGCGAGCTTCTTCGGCTCGAGCCCGGCCTTCTCCGCGATCGCGTCGACGTGCAGGCCCTCCGGGTGCGCGAGCAGGATGTCGGGGATCTTCGCGCGGATCGCGACGCGCATGCAGGCGACCTCGAAGCCGGCCAGGGCTTTCTGTGGTCGCGGTCACGGTCAGGACCAAATATCTGGCACTACAAAAGTGTGGAGAACGGACGCACACTGAAGATGGTCAACGTCGGCGGCGTGAGCGTCGTGCACAGCTGCGTGGTCGCGCTCTCGAGGACGCGCAGGTGCTTGTGCAGATCGGTCGGCCCGAGCCCGTCGTTCCCGAGCTCGTCCAGCGCTGGGACTTCGCCCTGGTACGCCTCGTACGAGGCAATGGCCGACTCGGTCGCGGAGCTGATGAGCGACACGAGGGCGCGCAGGTCGGCGATCTTGCGCTCCTTGGCGGTCACGGTCGAGGAGGGCATGACGGTGGTCGAGGGTGTGAATGTAGAATGCAGACGCGAACGCGCGAGAGACAATAGACGCGGGGGCAGGGGCGGATGTGTATGTCTGGGACAGCACGCCCGAGGCCTCCTTCATATACACGTCCCGGCGAGCATCAGATCCACAATCATCGAATCAATGGGAGCGCTGACACGCTTCTGCAGCCCCCCGTGGGTACGCGCTGCCGTGTTTCGCGGCGGGGGCTTTACGACACGCCCCGCGGGCGTATGCAGACGATAGATGCCACTCGTCCTGGGGCGGCGCGTACCGTCTGTATGTGTATCGCGGTTCCTGTTCCCATTCCTATTTCCCAGTTCCCATTCCCAGCCCGCGAGAACGCTTTATGCATTATGCCTGCGCTTCACGACCGGCGTCGTGCGTGCTGTGTGTGTGTGTGCTCGTGGGTACGCCGGGGAGGGCGGCCACGGCCACGGGCCCAGGGCCCGATGCGGCCCAACGAGGAATGGAGGGCAGTGAAGTATGGATCGCGGGGGGCTGTATTGGCATCACTCTCGAAGCGCAGCGGCATCTGAATCATGCATGCCTCGGTGTGGGTGTGGGTCAATGGCGCACAGAACGCAGAGAATGCGGGACGGCAGGCGGCGGACAGGGGGCAGGCGCAAAATCCGGGTGTGAAGGAAAGGTGCGCAGGCGCCCGAGGTGCGCGACGCTGGGGTTAGAGGCAGCAGATGGAAGCCGGAAGCTTCTGACGCTGCGCGCGCCTCGCGACCCGGCGGCCAAGATGCCCCCTCCCGCTGTTCATATCGCGCTGATCAAGGACGAAGCAGAGCGAAAGTCCGTGAGGTTATCGCTGATGCGGGGCGACCTGGGCACTCGGGAGCCCGGCAGGCGTGTGCGGTACCTCGAAGAAATATCGGGCGCGGTCGTCTGACTGCGGTTTGTGCAGATTGAAGGCTACGCGCGACATATGCAGCGCGACATTGCGGTCTGATGGAACGAGACTTTGATAACTGTTGATAGGCAAGACATCTATACTAATAGAAGTGCACAAAGTCGCTATGCGCTGTGATTATGATTGCGGAGCGGGGTGCGCGTAACGTACGTACCGCGGTCCGACGCTGTGCAGCGAGTGACTTGGATGTTTCCTGGGTGGTTACAATTCAGCGGCAGTACCTGCGGCACATGGAACATCCACGAGCGACAGGCCGCAGCATGTCGGTGTCGTCAGTATATACATACTAGGCCCACGGGGATGTGGCTCCTGACGTAGACGGCTAAGTGACAGTATCATACGCTCTGTCAGATCCTTGCAGAATCAGTAAGCCTGCGGCTTCGACGCCAGGCCCTGCTTGATAAGAGTCTCAACGGCCCTCGGCAGGTCGGCCTCAGGTAACAGCCAGGTTCCAATGTCTATGCGCATGCCGCAGCGCCCCGGGAGACATTTATATGGCACGTCTATGTCTGGAAGGGTAGATCATCAAGAAGGGTTCAGCGCTAGGGACTTGCAAAAGGCAGAAAGACGCAAACCTAGACCATAAAAAGCGGCACATAGAAGACGCTTACGAAGAGGTATCCCACAACTTTTCCGTAGCACGGCAGTAATTCGAATGCGGAGGAGTGGGCAGTCAACTAGTCACCGGGAGTGTCGAGTGCTGCACTGAGTAGTTGACGTTGTCCACCGGACGATGCCGAATCGTGGGAACCCACCGAATTGCATATGCGCACGGTACGGTCGTAAGGAACGACACCAAACACACGCCTCTGCTCGGCCCAAGCAGGTGTTGCCACACATGAGAGAACAACGCAAATCGGGAAAAAACATCGATGAGACTTCTGATTAGACACCACCGTGAGTCGAACACGGGACCCTGCGATAATGATTAAGCATTGCAAACTGCAATCGCATGCTCTAACCACTGAGCTACGGTGTCTCACTGTGAACGGACCCGAGGCACCCTTCAATTGCTTCCCCAGCAGACAATGTACGTGGCCAAAGTATTCTGTAGATTCGCCCTGGAGAGTTCTCGAAAGCAGGCAACGACACTTCTAAGCCACCGACACAGTGACACTTTCGAAACTGCATCGATACCGTGCGTCGTGCGTCGTGCGTTCGTGCGTTGTGATAATGATATGTACACTATGTAACTTATATACCGATGGACAATGGACAATGGACAAAGACCAAGACCGAACCGCTAACAGGACAAGGCCAGTGCAGGCGAACGAACAGGAGACAGGAGACGGGAGACAGGAGACTAGACAATGGCGAGATGTATACGTATCAATGTAGTGAATGAAGCTTGAAGATGGAGTGACATGGACCGAGAAGACCGTGAACGGACGGATGAAAAGTGGATTATAGTGTAGGCGGGAGAGTCAGTATGGCGTGGGCTTATGGCATGCGGCGGTGGCAGTGAGGATGAAGGATGAAGGAGGATGGATGGACATGTTGTATGTGGGGGTGTAAAGTGTATGTACTATACGGTGCTGTATATTACCGAGCGCGCCACGGCCCACTGGCACGCGGCGCGGGGATATCACTAACGTACTTTCGCCTTGCCGTGCCATTCGCCGGGCGAGGCAGGCGTCTACAGGCAGGCAAGCAGCAGCGGGGACGGGAACGGGGGGCCAGGACTACGGGCTGCCCATGTGGTGATCGCGGTACGGCGTGTCCGGCGGGGGCGCAGGCGCAGGCGCGTCCTCGCTCGCGGCGCTGTACACGCTGCCGGCGTCGCTGTGCGCGTGCGGGCGTATCGTCGGCTCGTCGTCCGTCGAGCCGTCGAACTCGGTCTCCGCCTCGGTCTCCGTTTCCGTTTCCGTCTCGGTGTCGGACGCGAAGGACGCGGTCGAGCGCGAGGCGTGCAGCGAGGGCGTGCGGTGCGGGTGCGGATGCGGCGGCGAGTGCGGCTCAACGAAGAACTGCGACGGCGTGGTGTGCGGCGACGGCGCGGGCGGGGGCAGTGCGTGCGTCTGCGAGAAGAGGATGAGCTGCTCGGCGTAGTGCTGCATCTGCTGCTCCGAGATGGTGAGGCGGAAGTCGTTCAGCAGGAGGAACTGCAGCTCGAGCCGGTTGAGCTCGGCTTGCGGGAGGCCGCCGACCTGTGGGTGGGTTGTGAGTATAGGACAGTAATCGGCGGCGGCTAATTGTGTTCGACGAATGGGGAAAGGCGTGTTTGCTGGGCCGGGCCAGCATGCAAATGTAAATGGAGAGCGTGAGCAGGTCTCGCTGCAGTCGCCGGGATATGGAGACTCGAAAGGCATGAAACAAGGCTGAAAGGCGGCGGCAGAACTGGAGCCGCGCACACAATATCGCAGACGCACGTGTCGCAGGTCAGGGGAGGAGCACACACCTTGGCGTAGCGCGAGTTCGTGTAGAACACGTCGCTGAAGAACTTGCTCGCGACGGTGACGCCTGCGATGACAAGACGGTGAATGTTATACGAGTCGATGACAAACGTCTTTCCAGTTGAGTCAGCGGAGAGACGGGCCATGCGGTCGAAGTAGACAAGGAGGCTGAGGAAGACATCGTTGGTGGTAGGACAGTACTTGAGGATGCGGAGGAGGTATGCTTCGAGGGAGATAGAGGGGATGTTGCGGGCATGGAAGGACAGCTGGGAGGAAGGTGTGGAAAAGGCTACTCGAGATGCGGTCGTCAACGTCGACCAGATGGGACGTGCATGCATCTCAGTGGGAGAGAGAGGTTGTTGGGACGAAGGATCTGAATGGGGGAGGTGGTCATTGGCGGCAGCAATCTGAGTGAGGAGGGAAGCAAGGAGGCGGAGGAGGTCTTGGGAGGGGTAGCGATGGATGTCAACTGGGTGCGACTGTGGTGGCGGGGCCGATGGGGGGTGTGGCCGCGATAAATGGGGGTCTGGGAGGGCTGTAGGAAGAGCGTTAGAGGACGAGGAGGACGAAGAGGAAGACAGAGGGCGGGAAGAGGAGGAGGAAGCGGAGGAAGATGAGGACGCCACGGTGGGCGGACGAGAAGAGGAAGCGGGGCGGGCAGAGCGGGGCTGGGGCTGTCTTGGCTGGGGGTAGTCGTGCTGAACGGGCGGGGCCAAAGCAAGCATTGCGGCCTTGTGACGGTAAGCAGCGTTCTCCTTCGTAGTCGTTGCGATCCCGCCGCGCCAGCAAAAAACGCGGAGGTCACCGCAGGTCACACTGTCACCTCACAAGTCACACTTACACGTGCCTCCAAGACCGCCATTGCCTTCAGCTCGCTCCTTGCATCGCTCTCTCACCGCCCTCGACCTCGTCGAATCGGCTTTCGACGCTCTTCTCCCCGATAAGCGACATGGCACGAGTGTCGCACTGACGACACAGGTACGCCCCCGGCGACCCAATTGAACTCTATCGCCCCAGCGTTCCACTCTCCGTCGCATATCCGAAATGCTCCCGTCCGGCTGTGGCGATTCTTCGCCGCAAACGTGTGCTCGCTACGTTGTCATTCGCACGTGTGGCCGCGGCGCAGTACGTCCAGCAGCCAGTCAGTGGCCTTGCACAACGGTCTCGTACGTTATTCGGCAATCGGGCGATTCTTCTCTGCTTGCTATTCTTGGGTGTTCCGAGTTAGGGCCTGCGCGCAACTGCATGATGTCTACGCAGACAAATGACCTGGTAGATGCAGTGCAAACCCAGGTCACACTCATGCTGGTGGCCATTGCATTACTTTGCAATGCTTCTGTTACTCCGGGTCTGTCACTTCTACAACAGTTGATGAACATGTGATTGCTATGCTTCTACAAAAGCAGTTTGGGCTACGAAATGTGCTTTGCCTGCCACTTTCCATTGCAACCCAGAGTGCTCAAACACATGAACAAATGGTCACTCGTGGTCCCCCCATGATACCAGTATCAGCAGGACAGGGTGGAGCATAGTAACAATTTTTTCGAAAATATGTCCCACAAAGCACTACAATAATAGTAGACACACAAACATATATAACACAGCTATGCATCAAAGCTATCCCCATGTTTCAGCAGCCAGAACTGCACCACCTCCCAAGCCCTGCCCTTGAGCCTGTGCTCGTCAGCAAAGGGCACACCATCAAGCTCACTCAGCTGCTTCATATGCTGCCCGAGATGGCTGCTCTGTACATGCCAGAAATGGAAATGTGAGCCTCAGACTTGGGTGCTGAAGCTGAAGACAGAAGGCTTACCTGCAGGGTGTGAAGGGTGACAGTGTCCCTCACCAGGCTGATATCCCGCAGCACAGAATCAAGCTCCTGCATGTCCTGTGATATGCAAGTTGAGTCATGGTCATGCCTGCAGAAAAACACATGAAGAGAACAGCCTACCGTCTGATCAAGCATCTGCTTCCCCTTCACCAGTTTCTGAAGTGCCGCCGTCCACCGCTCCAACATCTCCTCGTCCGGCTCCTCACCTCCGACCGCAGTCGTGCCATCCACCGAGTCTTCCGTAACCTGCTGCTTTTCAGGCAGAAGCTCCTTGTCCTCATCCATGTCCACGTCTATCACATCATCAGGAGCCTTGGCTTCCTTGACTCTAGGCAGGATCAACCTGTCCGGGGCCGGCACGCGCTCATCCAGACTGCCCTCGCGCGACGGCTCCGCGCTCGACTCGGTCGACAGAACCGTGCGCAGCGGCGCGCGCGTAACACGCGCACGCGGCTGCAAATAGCACCATGTCCGTATCAGTATCAAATAGCATGGCCAGGAGGAGGGGGAGACTTACGCGCCGCGGCTTCTTCCCCGTGCCCCGGTCGAGCGCGCCGGGCCCGAACAGCGCCTGCAGGTGCTCGGCCCACATCAGCACCATGCTCGGCTCCTCCGCGACCGTCACCTCCCTTGCCCGCCCCCTCTCTCTTTCCTTCTCTTTCTCTAAATCTTTTCCCCGCTCCTGCTCCTGCTCCACTCCATCTCCATCCACACGAACATCCACATCCACTTCCGCCCCTGCCGCGCCTTTGGGAGCACCGTTCTTCAGCGCAGGCACGGGCGCACGCAGCAGCACGCGCAGATCCGCGCGCACGCGCTCCTCGACCTCCTCGCCCGCCCACCACGACACGCGCTCCGCCTCGCCCGTCGTCCAGTTCGTGAGCGTGCCCTGCGGGAGGCGCAGCTCGAGCCCGGTGTGCGACGCGCCGAGCAGCGCGTCGAGCTGCCGGCGCGAGATGGGCACTTCGCGTGTGCGCTTGGGTGCGGGCGCGGGCGCGGGCGCGGTTGTGAGGGTAGTTTTGTGGGTGGTTGTGGTTGTGGTTGTGGTTGTGGAGTGGGTGTTTGAGGGTCCGGGTGCGCTGGAGGAGCCGGAGGGTTTGGAGCCTGAGGGCTGTGTGCGGGGCGCGCGGTGCGTCGCGGGGGTTGTGATGAGCACGATGGGTTTGGGGCGCGCGTGGGTGGCCGGGTACGATTTGGGCGTCGCGGGTTTGTTTTGGGAGAATGTGGACGCGAGGGCGGCGAGGAGCGAGGAGGACTGTGGGGGTCCGGTTTTGTGGGTGGTTGAGTGAGGCTGCTTGGCGGTGTGAACCGGCTCTTTGGGGTGGGGGGCTGCTGGTGAGGCCGCTTCGGAGGGGACGGGGGCGAGGAGGGGTTCTTCGACTGTGAGTGTGTCCTCTTCGGCCATGTGTACGTCCTCGGCGACGTCGTCCTCGACGTCGTAGATTTCGACGAGCGGGCGGTCGTCATCGTCGTCGGTGGTTGCTCGCTGTGAGCCCGGGGTGTGTCGTGAGTGGCCATCCGTAGTAGGCGGCTCCGGCTCCGGCGAGACTTCAATAATGGAATCGTCCTCGGCCTCAGGAGATGCGGCACGCTTGATGTGCTTTGAGCTTGACCCTGCCTTCCGCCTTGGGGGACCCACCTGTACTTCCACTTCCTCCACTTCCTCCATGTCCTCTCTTTCACCACCCTCACCATCTTGTTCTTTACCTTCTACCTCCTCCTCACTTCCATCCTCTTCCTCATCGTTATCACCTT